AATAAAATAAAAAATAAAAGAAATAAATAAATTAAAAAAAAATTTCATCCAGAAAAAAAAAAAAGCAATATTTATTTGGTTGTGGATCACAATAATCCTTTTGTTGCTAAGCCATTACATAACTTTTAGAATTCTTTCCTGCATTGGTCAAAGTTAATTATATTAGAAGAACATGTTACTTGAGAGGCTGCTACATCCTCACCAAGAGTCTTAGCCTTACATTTTTATGTGCAAGTGTCTCTTCAAGCATGAATACATAGAGGACAGGGAGCATGTTCCCTAGGTATGTTTATATGTTTGCTTACACACGTCGATTTGACTGGCTGGGGGAGAGGGACAGGACTGAAATGTCAAATTCTTTGAAGATTCATCAGAAATAAAGAAGAGTGGTTCTGAGACTATTCCAAAATGCAATGGGGGGACAGGTGTAGGTATTCAGCCACTGTAATGTATGTACATGCATTATTTTAAGAACTCATCTAGTATATAAGTCAATACACAACTGTATTTTTCCTGGGTCATGCCTCCAATCATGCTTAAGGGGGAAGAACAAGAAAAAAAATATGGGCGAGCTCTAACCACTCTAAGTAGAAAGTAATTCCAAGGTAAGTGCACCCCACAGAGCAAATGGGCCCTTTTAAAATGTTTGAGGGGAGGAAACAGCAATTTCCTACCACCTTTGAAAACAGTCCCTAGTGACTTGGTGTCAGGAAAAATTTGCCTAGATTCATTCGTGGAGTCATACCACCCTGGATAAAAAGAGAACAGTTTACCAGGCTAAAATGTGGTTATAAGGTTGCTCTTGCCTCCGTATAGAGAAGGGAGAATAATAAAGTCCCATTTACAGTTTTAACTGACCAGAAATTTTAAGCAAGAGACAATGTTGAAGATATATATCCAAAGAACTAGCAAAATTACCTATTTATGACATTAAATTAATGATGAAACCATTTTCTCAGTAATTCAGTAACAATAAAATGGAGTCAGTTTGTATGGGATTAGGCAAACCTTTGGTGTTCCACAGAAGTGGCTTGCAATGGTGGACAGAGGTAAGAGAACTGGTGTTGACCCAAGTTATAGGTAGTATAAAGACTCCTTTGTTGACTCGCTGTGATAACAGTTCCTCATTTGTTAGATCATTGGGTATAAAGTTATATAATTGAAAAAAAAAAATAAATAAAGTTATATAATTCAGCCTTGCCCTTCTTTGCAGCCTGTTGTGGTAGACAACACCTACTTTTAGTTGTGGTAGTTCCCAGACTGCCAAAGCCACTTCCTATATGTGAGATGAATTTGACTTTTAGAGTTGTGCAGGTAATTTAGCAAGTTTGAAGGGAGGTGGGGAGGGGTGGGTAAGAATCAGTCTTTCTTTTTTCCTTTATTTCAGATACTTAGAAACTTCTGCCCTTTGTTTGACTATGCTACGATTCTACTCATTATTACAAAATATCAGACACTGCCCCTGCACTTGTCCTCATGACTTGCACAATTCTTGCAAAATGCCATTGGGGGTTTTCTCAATCATGTGAAGAGAAGTCTGTGCCCAGTTTTCTCCTCCCAACCGTTATGATCCTGCTCCTGTTATCTTGCATTTAACAAACAGAGATTGATTTCTTGCCTAAAATTAGCTGGAGAATTCTATTTGGATCAGTCCAGCAGAATTAAAAAGTGTAATTAGCTTGAGAATTCACTCCACTCCTCGACCTAAGTGCTGCTTAAATATCTCCTGCAACGTTTTTGCAGAGCAGGTAACACTCTATCCTCCAGTGAAGCCGTTCCTGGCAGGAAAGCTGCCTATGAATTGCTATGAGCTTATCACCAACGTTTCTGCATATGCATGTGTTACCAACTACAATTGTCCTCGTAAAATTAAATAAAAAGTACGCGTTTATTATTGTGGAGTTCCAATTAAGGGCCAGCTGGTGTTCCTCTTACACGTGCATTAAATTAAAACTTGTAATTTAGCTGTCCAGATGCACTCTTTTAAATCAAAATACAAAATTGCATTTGTTTTGTCCAGTTGCCATTCGACAGTATCGGGAACCATACCTCAAGACTCCTCCTATCCTTCAAACTCCACTGCACTGACCAACACTTCAGAGAGAAGTTCTTCGAGGAAAATCAATGATAGGGGAATTTGTAGAAGAGAGCGGACCCAGGAAGGCAGCTGGTGAGTTTTTTTTTTTCTTCCTGCAGTGAGTCGATGTATTTATTGACTAAGGACACGTTAGAAATTACCTATGTCACTTCACCTGTATCTGAAGTGAGTAGAAGCGTGCAGCTTTGAACCCCATTGCATGTCTCTGGCACTTCAGTTCCTGAAGCTACAGAAACTTTCCTGCCTCCCCATCCCCTCCCCGGAATGTGTGCCTACTCTCTTTTCTCTTTTGTGAAACCTGAATATTATGACCCGCTCCCCCTCGCCCCCCTTAATAATAAAATGACAAAGGGCAGCTGCGGCAGGGGCTGGGCCACCAGCTTTGGGGGCGAGGAGCCACACCCCCTGAGAATAAATCCCGCGCTGCGCTCTTGGAGCCCGGTGCCCGAATGAACGAATGAACGAACCACACAAAGACGGATTTGAGACCTAACAGCGCCGGACAGGGGGAAAGTGCCCGCACTCTGGAGCGGGATTCGGAGCGCGACTTTTTGGCGCTCTTTGGGAGCAGCGAGAGGGAAGCGGCGGCCAGAGAGTCGCCAGGCGCGCGCGGGCGCCGGGGCAGCACCGGCCCGAGTCCGGCTGGAGCGGCGCGCTCGAGCCAGGTGAGGTTGGCGGTGCGGGTGCGCCGCGTACCTGGCCAGGCAGGGCGCGGCCCAGTGGCCCGGCAGTGGCCGTTTGGCCGGCCGAACGCCCCTCGCGGTGAACCGGCGTCGGAGGTCAGCGCGCTCCGCGAGGGGCCAATTCGTGGAGGGCAGCGGCCCGAGTTGCGGGCGCGGCTCCCGCTCGCCTAGCGGGGCTGGGCCGGCGTTGCCATGACAGCGGCTGGCCGGCAGAGCCCCACGCCCGCCGGCCCGCCCGGGAGCCCGCGGGGAGCTCGGAGTGGACTGAACCAAGAGCACGGGGGTGGGGGGGGGGGGGGGGGACGGTCCGGGTCCCCTCCTGGCCCGCCGGTCGGCCTGCAGTGGGGAAGGCCATCCTGGGAAGTCGCGCCCAGAAAACCTTTCCTGGGGCCCAGAGGAGGCTGGCAAAATCGGGGGGGGGGGGAGGGGCAGAGGGACGGGGAGGGAGTGTCGCCTGGGTAAGGAGTCCGCGTGTGTGTCCCTCGGCTTGACATTTGCTACCCCACAGCGGCCGCCTTGGAGTCCGGGCGTGTGTCCCAGCCCTGAAGTTCTGTAGGTGGGGCGGACTCTAATTTGCTGAGATCTAATGATTGCAGGAGCCTCGCTTTAAAATGGCGGCATTCAGTAGACACCCCTGCTAGAAGCGCGCCCAGTACCGGGGCCACCCCGCGCAGAGCTGCTTTTGCTTCTGCTGCTAACAGATGGCATGTGCCGCTGCCGCTGTCCCTGCCGCCGCCGCCGAAAGTAGGGCCCCTTAGCCTCTGGGTTTGCGCTAGCAGCACGAGGTAAGGCTGGAGGTGGCTTGGGATTTGTCGAGTGGCTGCCATTCTGGGAAGCCCGCCGAAATAAAATGCCTTTTAAACTTTATTTTTTCAAAGTGGCAAATGGAAGGAAAAGTGAGCGTGCAACTTACTTGGTTGCGATTCTAGGGCTTTGGTCTTTCTTCTTTCTCCTCCTCGTTTTCTTCTTTTCCTCCTCCTCCTCCCTTCTTTTTCTTTCTCTCTCTCTTTTAAAATAATTTAGAAGAACTTATTGCATGGCATCTGATCAGCAAATGCTTTTAACAATCACGTTCCGTGTTTTCCTGCAATATCCCGAGCAGCGCCACAGCTTTCTTGCAGAACCGTATCTCTTCCCGCCCTGGTTTAACACATTTGGGCAGCTTGCTTTTTTACTACCGGGATCTGAAGACATGAGGGTAGTTTAGTTTTTAGGAGACTATTAAAAAGGGAGTTTTAGTTTTGAACACACATCAGCTTTTATGGTAAGAAAACAAAATTGAATCAAGATGTGTAATGAAAGTTGACATTTGCGTGGTTAACTTGTGAAGTTTCATGATTGCGGTAGTAGACCTACTGTGGGTTTTTCTGACCTCCGTCTGTTGAGTGGTATATATAGACAGAGCAGTGAGGGCGGATGGAATGCGTTGCTCTAACGAGAATAGTGTGTTTTTGAGGAGTCCTTTTCTCCTAGATGTTAAATCGCTAGCGTTTGTAAATTGGGCACGGATCTCCACAGCCTCTCCCTGTGCGTGTGTAGAGTCCATGGGCAAACATCAATAAAAAGAAAACTGTTGTAAGATTTAATGTTGAAATGATTGCTGATTTTTCACTATGCTGGCTTTCTGGTTTAATCAATAAATCTTTGGGTGATTACTGATAGAGTGGTTGGAAAACAGACTGTTGACTAGGCATCAGGGCTTAACACAGTTCATCCGAGTTTTATTTGTTTTTTGCTGATGAAAGGCGTATTGACACGGAGGCTTATCAGAGTTGTCAGATGTTTTTGACGGTAGTCACATTTTCTCTTTCGCCTATGCAAATCTAGTCCTTAATGTTAAAAAAAAAAGTTAAAATTTTTTTTTCTAATTCATTTTTGCGAGCTTTTGGGGGATGCTTCATGTTCATCAAAACTTCCCTAAACATAGCCTAAACTGTCTTTTGCTCAAAGCCCAGCTGATATTATTCTGCCCATTTCATTTCTTACCTCTCCTAAACTTGGCTGGCTGACTCTCCTGCTCCTGAAGTTAGCAAGTGTCTGGGGAAGGGGGGAAAGAAATTGTTTTGCACCTCTTAAACCACAGTGCCGTTTTCCTGCCCAGGTGCTGTAGTCTACCTAGGAATGAAGAGTCAAAACTGCTGACAATTTATGTAATAAAATTTGGTGTCCATTTTTACACATTGTTGTTAATTGAGAGAAATGCATGGGGGCAATTCATTTCTTCACATCTGAAAGGAGAGTTTGTGCAGGTGGAGCAACAGCTACTTGCATAAAGCACCGTCTCCCATTTTTAGTGATTCCATACTTAAATCCCAGCTCCATACGCTTTACTTCCTGATTTGCTGCCGTGCTGCTGAATGACTTCAGACCAAATGCATCCTCTTTTTTAAAAAAAATGAAAATACTAAACCTTAAGGCCAGAATGTTGTTGTTAGGTGCTATCCAGTTGGTTCCGACTCATAGCGACCACGTGTACAACAGAACGAAACACTGCCCGATCCTATGCCATCCTCACAGTTGTTGTTATGTGTGAGCCCATTGTTGCAGCCACTTTGCCAGTCCGTCTCCTTGAGGGTATTCCTTTTTTTTCCCTAACCCTCTACTTTACCAAACATGACATCCTTCTCCAGGGACTGGTCCCTCCTGATAACATGTCCAAAGGACGTGAGACAAAGTTTTGACATTCTTGCTTCTAAGGAGCATTCTGGCTGTATTTCTTCAAGACAGGTTTGTTCATTCTTCTGGCAGTCCATGGTATATTCAAGATTCTTTGCCAACACCATAATTCAAAGACATCAATTCTTTGAATAAGGTTTTCCTTATTCATTGTCCAGCTTTTGCGTGCATATGAGGCAATTGAAAATACCATGGCTTGGGTCAGGCTCACCTTAGTCCTCAAAGTGACATCTTTGCCTTTTAACACTTTAAAGGGCTAGAATAGACATGCTAAACTCGCATCAGAGACATTGGGAGGAAATTTTGCCAGTGAATATTCTGCTACCTTATAGGGCGATGGGATGGGAGACCTTGTATGAAAACATTAAAAGTGAAGGAGTTTGTAAAAAAAAAAATTTTTGAGAGAATTGATATAGTGCTGGGCTAGAAGTGGTGACTGTGTTCTTTGCTCTGCTTGTAAGAGCCGCCTCATTTCTCTAATTTCTTTTGCTGCTTTAAGCACTCATAATGATTCCCAGGACTATTCTAAAGTATCTTGTTTTCCTCAGTTGTCCACTCCAGGCATTTCACAGCAGTTGATTTTTAAGGGGGATTAAACCTATGATTATGAGCTGGGAGCCAAAGTATCTTTGGTGGTCCCTTGCACCTACCCCCTACCTAAACAATGTTTTGCACAGAGTAGGTAATGTTAAATTTAAAAAGGGGAGGAGGGGGATAGTTTGTAAACTCATGCAGCAGCAGATTTTGTGCACAGCTTTTAATTTAAGTAGAAGGCACTTTTGTGCACTAGCAAGAACCAAAAAATTCAAAATAGAGTAGAATGTCTGTCCCTCTAATTGCCTGCGTTTATTTGCCTCAATGGCTTTTCTTGCCTCTCATTGTACTTCCAGGCACTTGTGTAATTCACTTTTTTGACCAGTAGATGTATTATCTGTCCAGCTCTACAACATAAAAAAGCAATCATGGCAGCTTGGGGTGGGAGGAAGGTTTTGTGTTTTGAATGCCTGTACAGTACTGCAGAAGGAGCCCTGGTGGTGCAGTGGTTAAGCACTTGGCTAATTGAAAGGTCAGTGGTTCGAACTCACCAGCCCTCTGTGGGAAGAAGATATGGCAGTCTGCTTCTGTAAAGGTTTACAGCCTCGGAAACCCTATGGGGCAGTTCTACTCTGTCCTGTAGGGTTGTATGAGTTGGAACTGACTCGATGGCAATGGGCTTGGTTTGGGGTTTGTATAGTGCTGCAGGTGCAGAACAGTGGCCGTCCCTGGGCTGTTGTACAGATGTTGACAATATAGTTTGAAGTACAGTTTTTGTTCTCCACCCAGCTGTCTTTATTTGTGTGTGTGTGTGGTGGGGGGAAGGCCCTAAAGTGATGAAGATTTTCGTTCCTAAAATTTTACACTTATCCTACTTACAGTGCAGTGAATTCAGGAAGGTGGCAGAATGTTTCCGTGTTGAAATAAATAATGTTGCATGAGAGGACTACAAACATGGGGGACATAGCAGACAAAGAATATACAGGGATTAGGGGCATAACAGACAAGAGTAAATTAAGGTACATGTTTGACAAGTCATTTGATCCCGTAATTAAAGTTAGATAATAGTCACTGGCATGTTAAAACTATCAAGTGTCTGAAAGAACATCCAGGCTACACTCACCTTTACTTCATCAAGGTTCTTTTATGCTGTTAAGTTTTCTTATAACCATGTCTAGT